AGCTTATTTGTAATAATGGATACAGCATGAATACATAACATACACACTTCACAACTACAACTTGTGATATCAAAAGTTTTGTTGAACTTCGACACACGGTGGAAAGTTCAAAGCTTGAACACGCAGGCAGTTTTTACAAAGATAAAAATAACAAGAATAAAAAGGTAATCACTACCATAATACAAAACATTACCAGTATTTCTTAGTCTCTCTTTCCAAATAATATGTGCTTTTGAATTAAGAACTCGGATTTGAATCTTGACACTTCCTGTGTGGCTTCGGCAAATTACTCAACGGCTTGGTAAAATCCCCAGGGACAGAAGCACCTGATACGATTGTTGAATTTGAGGAGATCTACAGTGTAAAACGTTTTTACAGCGCCCAAACACAGCTGCCTGCGAAAAACCCAATTATACCAACAGGCAAACGTAACAGGCAGTCGTCCACCCCGCGCTTCCTGCGGCCAACTTCTCCCGTTTTTTGAAAGCAGCTCTCTCCATTCCCTTCCTCCTCCTTTCTTGCCCCTCCTACCGCCGTAAACCGCAAGCCAGAGCTGTCGTAAAATCCTCCTCCCCGCCCTCCATGTGGCGGAAACGCAATCACGCTTGACGGCGCGGAGTGGCTGAGCCGCAAGATGGCGGCGCTGGCGGAGGAGCAGACGGAGGTGGCGGTCAAGCTGGAGCCCGAAGGACCGCCGACGCTGCTACCTCCGCAGGCAGGCGACAGCGCGGGCGAGGGAGGCGGCGGCACTCCCAACAACGGCCCCAGCGGTGGCGGCGGGAGCGTTGCGGCGGCGTCCTCGGCCGGCGGGGATGGCGGGAACCCCAAACCCGCGGTGGCCGTGCCCGCCGCTGTCCCGGCGCCCGCCGCCGCCGCCGCCGCTGCCCCGGAGGCCGGCGCCCCCCACGACCGACAGACCCTCCTGGCGGTGCTGCAGTTCCTGCGGCAGAGCAATCTCCGCGAGGCCGAGGAGGCGCTGCGCCGCGAGGCCCGCTTGCTGGAGGAGGCGGCAGCGGGCTCCGCAGCCCCGGGAGAGCCGGACGGCGCCGAGGCGGCCAGCGCGCTGCTCAGCCGGGTCTCGGCCGCGGCCCCCGGCCCGGTGGTCCCGGACCCTCCAGGGCCTGGCGCTCCGGGGGCCGTCGCCGTCTCGGGCTCAGCCTCAGGGTCTTCGGCTCCGGGGAAAGGTGAGCAGCAGAGTCCCGGGAGCAGGGCCGGGTCCGAGAGGAGCCAGCCGGGGAGCTAGCCGGGAGCTAGGGGCTGGCAGGCCGGCGCCTCTGCGGGCTTGTTTTGAATTTCCTGGGCCCGCCTCTAGGGCCACTTGCCCGCCCCTTTCGCTGGTGAGCCGGCTGCGCAGTCAAACCCAGCTTGGATCTGTCAGTTGCAGCGCGAGGCTGAGCGGAGCTGCCCGGCAGAGGGAGGGAGGACGGGGGCGCGGGGGGCGGGGCGCGAGCTGAACTCCCCTTCCTCTTGGGCAGGTCCTCATTTGCACGAACAGTATCGGGGCAGTTCCACGTTACTGTAGTATAAGTACTTTAATTGACACAGTTTTGCTGCGTGGAGACATTGCCTCTGTTTTAGAGATCAGAAAGTTGTCTCATTGAGAAAGGCCAAAGAATGGACTTTGGACCACACAGGGAGTGACGGAACACAGTGTAGCCAGTAATTCTCAAAGTACGGATTAAGTACCACCAGCGTTAAATGTTTTGGAAAATGCAAATTCCTGAGCATCTTGCTTGAGGCTTAAACTGTCCGGAGGAGAAATCTGAGACCCTGCAATAAGCTTTTGTAAGGAGGACTGGTGTGTGGCAAACTTGAGAACCACAGATTTAGGAAAAAGTGTGGGACGGACCATTTTGTCTCTTCTGCGTTTATTTCTGTATAACCTGTTAAAGTCCAGTTTCCTGCCGATGAGTTTTTTCTCTGTTAAATGGGTTATTATGAGGCTCAAGTCTGTGCACTAACGTAAGGTCTCACAGGTGATCAGTAAATGTTTTCTCTGCTGTGGGCCAGACCCCAAGACAGAAGATAAAACAAATGCACCCACAGACTTCCTAAGGATAAACATCAGGAATTTGTATTCTAGATCACCCTGAGGAAGCCAGGAAGAGCCACTAACCCAATCCCCTCCAGGAAAGCTCCACTCTGTATTCATGCCTGCTTGCGATCTGACTCACTTCTCTTTTTGATCCCAATTTAATCGATTTTACCTGAGCAGTTGTACTCATAGTCTTATTGGTTGAGTTTTGTCCCACCTCATGCCCACCTTGAGATATTCCATTTTGCCCACGTGGACCCACCTCACCTCATGGATTTGCTCTATAAAATTCTTTAAAATGGCAGGGTCCCTGGCAGTGCACTCGGGACCCCTTCTGTCTCTCTTGGAGAGAAGCTTTATTTCCCCCAGTAAATATATTGCGCTCTTAAAAATAAATGTCAAGAGTTATCTAGTGTGGGTCCCGTGGCCAAATTAACCTGTTTTTGAAAGCTCATCCTTGCATCATTGCCAGAAGTGAAGTGGTATACATACCATTATAAATAGAAACGTATGAGGCGCGTAGCGGCCTGTGCCTGTAATCCCAGCACTCAGGGCCAAGGCAGGAGTATCACCGAGTTTGAGGCCAGCCTGGGATATGGAGTGAATTCAAGAACAGCCTGAACTATGTAGACAGAGCCTGTCTTAAACAAAAAAAAAAAAAAAAAAAGGAAGTACAAAAATATTAAAAAGAATTTTTTCTGGATATCAAATTTTATGAATGAACTGTGAGATAAATTATATTGCTGGTCATTTTAATGTCATCTTTTAATTTTTGTGTGTGTGTCTTTTTGAGACAGGGTCTCACCATGCAGTTCAGCCTGGTGGTGAGCTCACTTTGTAGCCTAGGCTTATCTTGAACTCACAAAGATCCACCTGCCTCAGCCTCCTGAGTGCTGGAATTACAGGCATGCACCACCATACCTGGCTTCATCTTTTCAAAAACAACTTATTTTTAGGTCATAACACAGGAAACAGGAGGAAAAGGGGCTATCAAAGCCATTAAATTTCTGTATAGTAAATCCCATTATGCCTGTTTAGAAAAGAACATAATTGTACTATAAGTGCAGCTTATCAAGTTTCCAACAACCGAATTGATTTGGTTATATATTATTGTTTGGTACAAATACTCACATTTTCTGCTTTGAAATGGTGGTTATAAGAATCTCTTTAAACATACAATTGAATTATCTCTTGGAGATACAAGAAAGCATGGTCCTTCCCACACTTAACATGCTGACATTCAAACAGGTTGATAAGTGCATACATGGGAAGGTGGTACTGCTTAGGGTATGTTGCAGGAATGTGACAAAGAACTGGGGTGGATCAGAGAGATGAAATATTACTCTAGGGCAAGAGGTTATAGTGGTAGACGCCATTTGTACTAAGTCTTAAGATTGATATAATTGCTGGTTCGTGGGTGTGTGTGTCTGTGTATGTATATGGACTTGTGGTTCCAGGGAGTACACTCGAGGCCTTGTCCTTGCATCTTTTATATATACTTTGTCTTTAAAATAAGGTAAGAGGGCTGGGGAGATAGCTTGGCAGTCTAAGAGCCTGCGCAGCAAGCTCAGGGCCCCAAGTTAAATCCCCAGTACCACATACTGTGCCGGCCCCATGCCATGCCACTCAAAGCCAGGCGTGTTGGCACATGCCTATGATCCCAGTGCTGGGGAGGCTGACATAGGAGGATCACCGTGCATCTGAACTGCATAATGAGACCCTGTATCCCTCCCCCCGCCAAAAAAAAAAAAAAAAAAAAAAACGCATATAAAATAAGGTAGGGCTGAGGGTATAGTTCAGTGGCATGGGGCCTGCCTGGCAAACATGAGGTGCTGGGTTTGATTCCTGGTACCATAAAGAGACGGTGGGGGGATGGTTTAAAATAAGGTAGTTCTAGGGGGCTGGGGTGTTATAGCCCAGTGGCACAGCACCTGCCTGGCAAGTGTGAGGTCCTGAGTTTGATTCCTGATGTCATTAAAAAAAGGAGTTCCACTATCAAATCTTTTGTTATTGATTTAAATTTTAAGATGTGGATATGCAGGAGGGGTTTTGGCGTGGGTGACTGAAATCCTATTAAAAGGTTACATGATTATGTAGAAGAAGACAGGCTGAGAGGAAAGGAACAAACCAAGATGTAGCTCAGCTCTGCCCTTCAGTGAAACAGCCAGATCACCTGGTATATACCAGATCATTTTCTTAAACATTGTCTTTCATTTTGAAAACAGTTGGAAGTGTGGCTGTGGAAGACCAGCCAGATGTCAGTGCTGTTCTCTCCGCCTACAATCAACAAGGAGACCCAACGATGTATGAAGAATACTATAGTGGACTGAAGCACTTCATCGAATGTTCCTTGGACTGCCATCGAGCAGAATTGTCTCAGCTCTTCTATCCTCTCTTTGTGCACATGTACTTGGAGCTAGTCTATAATCAACATGAGAATGAAGCAAAATCGTTCTTTGAGAAGTACGTGAATTTTAACATGTATTTTATTTATACGTATGCAGTACACGCATTTGTAACCATACCAATGTCAGATTGCAACTCAGAAAATCTTTTAAGAAGGATAGAGACCAGGGCTGTGTCAGCCCGATGTGGGGGTTTGATCCAGTCAGAGAAGCCAGGGAAAGCTCCCAGAGGAAGCCACGCCAGAGGTGAGGTCTGAAGACAGGTTAGGAACGGCCAGCCGGGGAGAGGACGGGAAGCGAGGGTGAAAGCTGTATCGGAGGGCTCAGGCGGCTGGAGCAGGAGGTGGGTGGGGTGTACAGCATGCAGCTGGGATGCCAGGGCTGGAGCGCTACGCGGGTTCCGGGGCCCTGTTGAACATCTCTGTCCGAAGAGAGTAGGGAGTTGATTTGGGCAGAATTAGATTTGGCTGAGAGTCACTGGCAGAAATAACGATGGCATAAAAACCCTAATTTTTGCCTTCATTCTAAGTGCAGTAGGAAGCTGTGTTAGGATTAGATTAGGCAGACCGAGAGTGACTGCAAATCCAAACAAGCGCCTCAGATGTGCTAAGGGCTTATGTGTCTGTCTCATAAAGACAGGACTGATGCTCTGAGTCCTTGGTGTGGACCCTGCTGTCCTGTCCCACAGCTTCCCGTGTGGCTCACAGCGGGGCGGGCTCTGAGCCCTTGGTCAGTGTGCGTGGCAGTAGGAGGGGCATCGCTTTCCTGGAGAAAGCTGCAGTGCTGCTTACAACTTCCCTGTCACTGGCCTCAGCTAGCTACAGGAGACTAGGAAGTGTGGTCTTGACTTAAGAGTCTGTCTGTATCTGGCGAATATTTGTATTTTTTGTTATGGAGGAAGAAAAGAAAAACTGGTATTTGGGGACAACGAGGCATTAGTGCTTCAGAAGTCGTTGGAGGACTATGTCATTGTAAATATGCATTTTCAGAGGACTTTTTTTTTTGAGGCAGGGATTCACTATGTAGTGTAGACTGGCACGATAGTCCTCCTGTCATAGCTTCCCAGGTGCTGGGGTTCATAGGTGTGCACCACCATGCCTGACTCAGAGAACCTTTATGCAGATGAGAGGGGACAGAGTGACTTACTGGTTGACCACTTCGGAGGTTATCAGGTGGTTCTTAATGGAGGCTGTGTGTCTTCCCTAGGCCATTTGCCGGTGCGTGGAAGTGGTTTTGGTTGTCATGGAGGAGGCAGAAGGACAGGGTACTGAATGCAGTATAGGTGATCCTCTTGGTAGAGACTTGTCCCACTCAAAATGGTAGTAGCATGTTTCATGTGAGAAAAAAACAGACCATATGGTGGTGGTGGATGTGTGGAGAGGTACATCGACGAGACCCCTGATGGTTTGGATATGGACTTGAGGGAGAGGGAGAGAGCACCAATGACCTGAGGCGTTGCCTCCTCTGGTGGGTAGGGATGAGCCCCACTGGCGTGGGAAATCCAGGAGAAAGTGGTTTCTCAGGTGGAGAATGGGGGGGCGGCGGCCATGGATCTTGAACATGAGTCCCTACTACTGAGCTGCAGCCCCAGCCTGAGAATTTTCTTTATCTCTTCTTTCTGGCTTTCCTTCTCTTTCTTATAGGGGAAAGGTTTATTTAGCTCACAGTTTGTAGAAGTTTTAGTCCATAATTGGCTGGCTCCAAGGCAGGGTTGCTTTGCAGAGGAGAGACTTTAGTTCTAATCACATGTGCTTTTAAGACAGGGTCTTGTTACATACTTCAGGCTGGCCTTGAACTCATTGAGTAGCCTAGGCTGACTTAGAATTTACATCGATCTTCCTGCCTTCTGAGTGTTGGGATTATAGGTATGTGCTGCCGCCGCCACCAGCTTCGTCTGTGACTTGTTTTCCCACTTACTGTAACATAGTGCTTAGAGGCAAGGGAGTGATTGGAAGTATACTTAGGTATATGATGGCTGCAGGTGCGATTCCCTAGAGGAGAGTATGAAATTAGAAGACTAAGACCAAGCCTGGAAGAAGTCCAGCATTTAATGGCTGAGTGTAAGCGAAAAAAGTTAGGAAAGCAAGAAGAAAACCAAGAGTATATTTGGTTGTAGAGGCCAAGGGAAAGCAGTGTTTAGGAGGCAGTGCCTACTACCCTGAATGAGACTTGTTTTGTTTCATTTTGTTGAGACAGAGTCTCACTTTGTAGCTTAGGCTGTCCTACTCCTGTGATCCTGCTGCCTCAGCCTCCTGGAGGTACAGCATGTGCCACCATTCCTGGCTGGCTGAGAGTTCTCTAAGCATTAGAGATTGAACACAGGACTTGTCAGATAGCACAGCTAGTGGTGCTAGAGAAACAGGACAAGTTTTATGCCATTATATGTATTCATCTTACTAGGATGCCTAGTAGAAGGTATAGAAAGCAAAATCTTCTATAGCTTACTGTTCTTAAAAAAATGAGGAAAAGCTAATTAATGAAAATTTCTAATAAAGGGCCAGGGAGATAGCGCAGTAGAATAAGCACCTGCCTGGCAAGCGCAGGGTCCTGAGTTAAATCCCCAGTACCGCAAAAAAATAAAAAATAAAAAAAATTCTAATAAAGATGATTTCTCCTATAGTACTCATCAAAAAATGGTATAGCTGCCTTCCCAGAAGCTGGAATATTGTGGAGTATTGTTTGTTTCTTTGTTTGGGACACTTTTCTTGGAGGGGAAATGCCTTAAGGGGTAATAGGTGGTGATTGATATGAAAACCAAGACAACGAGATTTCTAATTTCATTCAAATGTTAGAAACCCTTAGGTCATGTATTAATTTTTTTTGGTAAGTGGTAACAAAATTTATTTGAACAAGTAAAAGTGAAGAGTGAGGGAAAACTGGCTCTGCAGAATGAACTTGAGCCACATAAAAGAAACAAAAAGCAAGGTAACAGTGTACCCTGGAGGACACAGGGTAGGTAGGTCATCGTGGCGGAGCATGGTAACCTGTATTGCTGTACTGATGAGCTCAAGTGTACAAGAGTGCAGTGTAGGAAGCCACTGGTTTTGTTTCTTTCAGAGCTACAGCCCTGCCCCTAATGTTTAACTATCATTTTCTAAACATTTTGTATTGATTTGTTTCTCTTACTGTCAAATATGTATTTTAATTTTACTTTCTTAGGAAAGTTTTTCAGATTTTTGAAAACAAAAGTACTTTTAAATGTATTAGTTATCACCAAAGCTGAAGGCTTTCATTGCCTTTGATAATGGTGAGTAAATACATGGTTGCATTGTTTAATACTAGCATTGGTTCCTTAGTTATAATATTAGAGTACTGATATTTCATAAACATGTCTGACACTAAGAATGTAGGAAATCATTCAAAATGGTGGACTTTATAAGAACCCATGTATTGATTTTTGTTGAGACTATGATAGTATTGTACATTGAATTCATATGCCAATTTCTACTGTTTTATATGCTTGAAATTTTCTGTAATAAAAAAGTTGTAAAAAGTGGGATTTTGAGAAAACCTAATATTCAGTAAAGTACGGGTTCTGATACTTTTTCAAATGTCTATCCAAGATAAAAAACTGTCTACCTGAGATGAGTAGTTTATCTTTCATTTATTACGATATTTCAAAATTCTTCTCGAAGTGTTTATGATACCTTTTGTTAAAGGATTACATTTATTTTTAGGATTAATTGAGAAACTGAATTGTAAGTATTTTGAAGTGAATTAGCTCTGATCCTACAGCTTAGTTCAGAGTTATTTAGACTACTACATTGAGAATATTCTGGGATGGTTTATAAATACATGGGGGAGAGGCAGATCCCTTAACGATTACATTGAAAAATGACTTTTTAAAATCACTGAAACAGGTTCCATGGAGATCAGGAATGTTATTACCAGGATGACCTACGAGTATTATCTAGTCTTACCAAAAAGGAACACATGAAAGGGAATGAAACCATGTTGGATTTTCGAACAAGTAAATTTGTTCTGCGTATTTCCCGTGACTCGTACCAACTCTTGAAGAGGCATCTTCAGGAGAAACAGAACAATCAGATATGGAACATAGTTCAGGAGCACCTCTACATTGACATCTTTGATGGGATGCCGCGTAGTAAGCAGCAGATAGATGCGATGGTGGGAAGTTTGGCAGGAGAGGCTAAACGAGAGGCAAACAAATCAAAGGTATGGGAATAAACCTAAGAACTATCTAATGCAGATGTTGAAAAACTGTAGTGTTTCCATCTACATGATTTATATCTGTCTTGTAGCTAGCTTGGGAGTAATTTTACCCGTATGTAAAACTTCACCTTCCAAAGGATGATGTGTGTGTGTGAGGATTTGGGAGCTGCTGCCCTTAACAGAACCCTGACTGCAGCGGCTGAACAGGGAAGGGGTTTTTCCTCACATGAAGTGAGTTCCAGTGGAGGGCCCATCAGGGCTGCTGTGACGTCTTCGCAACGCCATTGGCGTCCCTGGCTCCTAGCTTCTGGTCCATCATCTTTAGAATGTGGCTTTCTTTGTGCTCCCAAGCGGCTGTTGCAGCTCTTGCTTGCAGCCATGCCAGGAAGAAAGAAGGGCAGGTCAAAAGCCTGTGAGTCGCTCTCTTTTTGTCAGGAAGACAACTTCTGTTTTCCTAACACCATCCCCAGTATATCTCTGTAAATCTGTTGGCCAGAATAATGTTTAGTCATTCCTAGCCACATGGGAGGCTGAGATTTAAGTGAGCGCACTCCTGCTCCAGTAAAATCAGAGTTCTGTTCATAAGGAAGAAGGGGAAAATGGCAATTGAGCAGACAAATGCAGAATGCTGCTTCAAGATGTATGTTACTGTACTGGGGTTATTTTGTTTTGTTTTTTGAGACAAGGTCTCACTATATCACTTAGGCTGGCCTTAAACTCATTATGTAGCCTAAGCCGGCCTCAAACATGTGGTGATATTCCTGCCTCAGTCTCCTAAGTACTAGGGTTATAGGTATGCACCACTGTGCCTGGCTAAGTTATTGTAACTGATTCATCCTGTGAGGGTGTGCAAAAAATGTATTATTGAAGAAAAATGAATTGAAAACATGTCGGTTCTTTTTTTTTGGTAGGTATTTTTTGGTTTATTAAAAGAACCAGAAATTGAGGTGCCTTTGGATGATGAGGATGAAGAAGGAGAAAATGAAGAAGGAAAACCTAAAAAGAAGAAGCCTAAAAAGGATAGTATCGGATCCAAAAGCAAAAAACAAGATCCCAATGCTCCACCTCAAAACAGGTGAAGAACCTTCTTCAGGAACTTGTGGGCAGCATAAGATTTGTTACAGAGGGTTTGACTTCTCTCTGTCTCTTTCTCAGTCTCTCGGTCGATCGGTCGGTCAGTCGGTCTGTCTGTCTGTCTCTCTTTTGAGACAGGCCCTCACTATGCAGTTGAGACTGGCCTTGAACTTATAGTGATCCTCCGACCTGAGCCTCCCAAGTGCTGGGATTACAGGCATCTGCTACCACCCCTGGCTTTGGTAATATATTAAAGAGTAATTTCCAATCTCATTGTCTTTCACAGAATCCCTCTTCCTGAGTTAAAAGATTCAGATAAGTTGGATAAGATAATGAATATGAAAGAAACCACCAAACGAGTGCGCCTGGGACCAGACTGCTTACCCTCCATTTGTTTCTATACATTCCTTAATGCTTACCAGGTTGGCAAAACAGTCAGTTCTTCTTCTTTTTTTTTTTTAGTCAGTTCTTCTTAAGAGAATGATGTAAAGTTATTTACCATTAGGAGAGCAAGCTAAATGTGTTCACTAAAACAATTTTATTACTTGAACTCTTGATTGTTTTGACTCACTGCCTTGCTACATCATTCAGGCTGGCCTTGAACTCACTGATGGTCCTGACCTTAGACAGTCCTCCTGCCTCAGCCTCACATGTACTGGAGTTAGAGGCGTGTGCCATGGTGCCAAACTTTTTATTTTAGTGATACTGGGGATTGAATCCTATCACTGAGCTACATCTCCTTTTTATATTTTGACACAAGGTCACAGTAAGTTGACCAGGCTGGGCTTGAACTGAGGATCATCCTGCTTCAGCCTTCCTCCTAGCTAGGATCACGTGCATGTACCACTACGCTCTGCCCTGTCCTGCCACACTCTTGATACCATTTAAACAAGAAAGAATGAGAGAATGAGATGCTACACTATAGGTAGAAGGCTTTAGCAACTTGTAAGAAGCAGAATCTGCTCACAGGTCCCCTTCATGTATCTGCCAGTGTTTGGGTAGGTGAACACTGGCCCATCTCTGTTACTTAAGTAATACTATAAACTTGATATTTTAAAGAATTCTACATGTCTTTATAGACTCCTCGTCATATGCTACTGAGGATACAGTGAAACATTATGGAAAAATAATTAGCATTTGCTCCCTCTTACGTTCTCAAACATGGAGGACAAAAGTATGAGTAAATGAGACCTTGAGCTCTTCCCATGTGAGCTTTTCATCACTGGGTTTTATAGAAAAATGTAGCCACTCAACTTTTATGAGACAACTAGCCATCATTATAACTTGTCTAAGAGGGATTGTTTAGTATAAAAACTCTTTTTTAAAAACTCTTCAAAAGGGGATTGTTTAGTATAAAACTTCTTTATTGGCAGGGGCTCACTGCAGTGGATGTCACTGATGATTCTAGTCTGATTGCTGGAGGCTTTGCAGATTCAACTGTCAGAGTGTGGTCTGTGACACCCAAAAAGCTTCGCAGTGTCAAACAAGCAGCAGGTAACTGAACTGTCCTTCGAGGGCATAAACTTGCCAGGAGTCCATACTAGCTCTGATTTCACGGGACGTACACTGGAGGTTGCGAAGTTTGCAGGTGTTCGCTCGATTGCCCTTTAGCTTCAGATGCCAGAGAGTGCTCACATGGAGCAGGAGACCGGACTGCTAGACTCTCTCTTTTCTCTGACCCTAAATTTTCTCATCTGTAGGACAATGGGATTAGGCTAAAAACTTAATGCTAAAATTGTAATGTTTTGTAAATCTTAAAAAAACCCTTAAATAGTGAATACTTTGTCATGAAAAATACCTAAAAAAGAAATAATATCAAGATTTTATTTTAAAGTTTTTGTTAACTATATTATCTGAACAAAATAGTTTTAAATTTTAGTTTTATTTCCAGTTTTCATTTTTGTAAAACATTTGTGGTATGATTGACAAATTTAAATTTCAATCCGATATTGAGTATCTGGGTACACTCCAGCAAATTTTTAACTGTTGCTCATTTCCTCTGCTACCTGGGATGGTGTCACCTGGTGTAGAAGCAGTGGCACTGTGAGAAATGCATGAGACTTGCCTGAGGGCCGTTGTTATGCACCATGATGTCATGAAAATACTGTGATGAATGTACTTAAGGAAATTACTTCTGGCCCGTTTAGACCTCAGCCTCATAGACAAAGAGTCAGACGATGTCCTAGAGAGAATCATGGATGAGAAGACGGCAAGTGAGTTGAAGATTTTGCATGGTCACAGTGGGCCTGTCTATGGAGCCAGCTTCAGTCCGGATAGGTAAAACAGAAACAATAAAAATTAAATACTGCTGTACTGTACTGAGATTATGTAAAATTTGACCATGGAATACTCAATGCACATGCCTAGAAAATTCCACTGGAAAAATCCCATGGTTCTATTAGAATTCTGCCATTTGTTCATTCATCCTGGGGTACTAGAACACAGGATAACAGTGTATGTCTGACCTTACAGAATCATAATGCACAGTTCAGGGCTTATTTTCAGAAACTAGCTCTATTTTTTTTTTTTTTTTTTTTTTTTTTTTTTTGGTGGAACCAGGGATTGAACTCAGACCCTTGCGCTTGCCAGGGAAGCACTTATTCCACTGAGCCATCTCTCCGGCCCCCTCTATTTTTGTATAACACTGATAGAACTTGAATTATTTGAGTCCCTGCACTGAATTTCATGGCGCATTATCATGTTTTTTTTTTTTTTTTTTTTTTTTTTTGGTGGAACCAGGGATTGAACTCAGGCCCTTGTACTTGCCAGGGAAGCACTTATTCTACTGAGCCATCTCCCCGGTCCACATTATCATGTTTAAGATAAATTTCCGATATTAATCACATAATGCCTATAAATTGAAGCTTTATCAAAAAACAAAGCAGAGGGGTTGGGGAGATGGCTCAGTAGAATAAGTGCTTGCCTGGCAAGCATACAGGCCTGAGTTCAATCCCTGGTTCCGCAAAAAAAAAAAAAAGCAGACTAAGAAAGCTGTATATACTTGTATGGGGTTATAATCCCAGCTACTCAGGAAGCTGAGGCAGGGGGATCATGAATTTAGGTTAGCTTCGGCAACATGGCAAGATGCTATTTCAAAAACAAAACACTTTATGACTATTCTAAACAGGAAGTTTGAAATTACAGTATTTTAGGAGTTGCTTTAGCCATAGGATTCCAGGGTATCAATATGCATGCTTAAGTATTTGCCAGATTTTTTATGATCACCAACATTCTGTAGAAATGAGGATTGAATATTTTGTATTCACAATTCTGTGTCTTATTTGGATAGATGATAGCTTTTAATCATCGTTTTTATTTTCATGAAACTTAAAAATTTTGATTAAAAAATAATAAAAATAACTAATTTTTATTGATTAGTTAATTTACTTATGTAGAGACAGGGTCTCACTACACAGTTCAGGCTGGCCTTGAGCTGACTTGCCTAGCCTGGCCTTGAAGGCATGGAAGTCCTCCTGCCTCCACTGCTGACAGGCATCCACCATGCCTGGCTTTCTTCATGAAACTTTTGAGAATGTTTACGGTCTGTTACAAGGACTAAGCCAGCTTTTTACTTGAGGAAAACCTTTGATTTCAATGTAAAAAGTCAGCTTTTGTATTCATCTCTTAAAAAATTGTCTTTGTGTGTAGCTTTGGTGTGCCTCCACTTAAATTCTTTATTTCGTGGGGAGTTCTGGGGCCTTGGGTGCATGCTAATAACCATATGGCTCTACTACTGATTTATATTCTCTGCCCCGCCCTTTTTCTTTAAATACAACTCACACAGGATGAGAACATAGTATCTCCCATTTTTAGAGCCAAAAATTGTTGAGTTTTCAGGGACATACCGAATTTCTTTAATTTTCCTTACCTGAACAGTTTTCATTTCCTGTGATAGATTTCCCCCCCCCCCAAAGAACTGATTTTCTCCCCTAAAAGACTAAGTTTTTTTTCCCCCCATTGGTCTTTTTGAGACAGGGTCTTGCTATACAGTTGAGGCTAACCTTGAGCTCACCTTGTAGCCCAGGCTAGTCTTGAACTCACAATGGATCATTCTGCCTCAGCCTCCTGAGTGCTGGGATTATAGATATGTGCCACCACTTCTGGCCAGATTACCCAACCTCATTTAGTTGTTTAGTATATGCAGTGGTAGAGCTAATATTTGGTTTTAACATTAGTTTGTCTAGAACTTCTGGCTTTGTGTCTACTATAAATTCCTTGTATTAAAAGTGACATGTATGGGGGCTGGGGAGATGGCTCAGAGATTTGAATAAGCGCTTCCTTGGCAAGCGCAAGGGCCCAAGTTCAATCCCTGGTTCTGGAAAAAAAATAATAAAGTGACATGTAGGGCTGGGGATATAGCTCAGTGGCATTAGTGCCTGCCTGGCAAGAGTAAGGTCCTGAATTCAATCCCCAGTACCACAAAAAAAAAAAAAAAAAAAAAAGGTGACACGTAGCTAGGAGTGGTGGTACACACCTGTGACCTCAGTACTTGGGAGACTGAAGCAGAACTGCTGCCAGTTCGAGGCCAGCCTGTGTTACATGAGCTCAAGGCTAGTCTGAACTTTAGCTACTTTAATATGTTCGCGTGAGAAATTGGACCAGTAACCAAGTTATTTGACAGTGTCAACTTTTCTTCTCTCAGGAACTATCTGCTTTCCTCTTCAGAGGATGGAACTGTTAGATTGTGGAGCCTTCAAACATTTACTTGCTTGGTGGGATATAAAGGACACAACTACCCAGTGTGGGACACACAGTTCTCTCCATATGGATATTATTTTGTGTCCGGAGGCCATGACCGAGTGGCTCGGTAAGAACACCATGTTCTCAGGACTGGGTGTGTTCGGCGAGCAAAGCTGTTTCTTGTTGGGACTTACTGACTCCAACTCAACTCATTTCACTTCCACTATTCAGCATCATTTTTTCCAGAATACCAGCATTTGTATTTATGTTCTTATTGACAGTGGATTTGGGAATGTTACTCTAATTATATCTAGACTAAGAATCCTGCCTTTAAGTTAGCTTTTATATCCTCCACCCCATTCCAGTGTTTATTCTTATCTTTCAGCAGCGTGGCATCTTTGTTTGCATCATCTTAAAGGTTAGAAACTAGTTATGTTGGTAAAACCTAGGGGATGGTTTAGATTAGAAAGAAAAAAGAATACAGTAAGTTAAAGATACACATTACTCTATTATATGCCATGCCTGATGGTGCTGCATGAGTTGTATTACCAGCATTTGGGAGGCTAAGGCAGGAGGATTGCAGCGAGTTCAAGGCCAGCCTGAACTACATAGCAAGACCCTGCCTCAAAAATCTTTTTAAAAAGAACACTTTAGGAACCTGTTGTTCACCCTCTATCAAAAACAAACAACTCGGGGCTGGTGAGATGGCTCAGTGGTCTAAGGCACCTACTTAGAACAAGCTGAGCTAAGCAAAACACAGAGACCGAGGTTCAATCCCCCAGCACCACATGCCAGCCAGCCCCGCCCCCTGGTGGGCTGAGCTGGCCACACACACACAAAAAATAAATAAAAAATCTTTAAAAAACAAACAAACAAACAAACAAACAACTCTCACTGCCTGATCATGTACCAGATCAACTCTTTTAAGAATGTTCGTCACAATCATTCTATCTTGTTTCTCTCAGTTGCCTTTCAAGGGGGACTCATTTGAAAAATTTCACCTGGGTATATCTAGTTATTTTGGATAGAATTTTGGCATTTTGTGGTTAACTACTAATGAGTACCTTTTTATTTTTGTAACGTTAAAAAAAGGCTCTGGGCTACAGATCATTATCAGCCTTTAAGGATATTTGCTGGCCATCTCGCTGATGTAAACTGCACCAGATTCCATCCAAACTCCAATTACGTTGCCACGGGCTCTGCAGACAGAACTGTGCGGCTCTGGGATGTTCTGAATGGTAACTGTGTAAGGATCTTCACTGGACACAAGGTATTTCATATCTTAATATTGCAGCACATAAAGATGCCTTCAAGATAAAAATATTTTCAGACTACTCAGTGGCACAAGTATTTTAAAGATATCACACCCCCAACTAGAATTCTAACTTTGTCTTACCTGCTTAGGTGTATTTAACAGTACTCTTCGTGTTTTTCATGGACTTTTTCTAGGGACCAATTCATTCCTTGACATTTTCTCCCAATGGGAGATTCCTGGCTACAGGAGCAACAGATGGCAGAGTACTCCTTTGGGACATTGGACATGGTTTGATGGTTGGAGAATTAAAAGGCCACACTGATACAGTCTGTTCACTTAGGTTTAGTAGAGATGGTGAAATTTTGGCATCAGGTAAATGATTATTAATGGCTTTGTGGTAAGGATTTAAATTTTTCATCTGAAATTTACAGCAAACTCAAGTGTCATGATAAAGTGTCAGAATCTAATACTACGATGGATGTTGCCTAATGGTCTCCTGATTTCCCTTAGGGTCAATGGATAACACGGTCCGCTTGTGGGATGCCATCAAAGCATTTGAAGACTTAGAGACTGACGACTTTACCACAGCCACTGGGCATATCAACTTACCAGAGAATGCACAGGAGTTACTGTTGGGCACATACATGACCAAATCGACACCGGTGGTACACCTCCACTTTACTCGAAGAAACCTGGTTCTAGCTGCAGGAGCTTATAGTCCACAATAAACCATCGGTATTAGAAGACTTTATGGAAGCTACTGTTTTGAAAAAAGGGAGTCTAAAAAGCAAATACCTCAGTGATTAATATTTAAGCTACAAAGAATGTTTTTGTCTATATGAATCTGGAAGTATGCTGCTTGGAAGATCTGAACAGGACAGCTCCACGTTTCTATAAGCAACCACATTTAACTAATTTCCGTTAGTTGAATAAGAGGTATTATGTTCGTGGAGGGAACATTTATGGTGCTTTGGATTGTGTGGAAACTATGCATTTTCTGTTCAAATGCTATTTTAATTTATTATATTTAGAAAAATTGATTTAAAAATTCATCCTGCTTCAAGATTCAAATTAAGAAATACAGTACCATCTTGAATTTTAGCTGAAGAATTCTACGAGCATGTATGTTTCTGCTGTAAAAAATGAAGTTCCTGTATGGCACTCAAGTACTGTTAAATGATCCACTAACATTTTTAACATTTTTTCTTGGCCTCTGATTAGTGGTATGTATGTAACTAGGTAGGGTAAACTACACTTCCTTCCTAAGATTCAGACAAAGTACCACCATCCACTAACAGCTTGACTTAGATTTCTACCTGTTTGAGTACACTCAAACACTCTTTAAACCCAGGTGAAAAAACGTAGCTTCATGTTCCACTTCAGCTACAATGGCTACATAAAACCTAGAACACTTGAAGTCAGTCAGACAGACATTTCAGTTGCTTACCTCCAGTACTGAGCCTTGCTTTGGAAAACTAAGAGATTTAGACCAAGTCACTGCCAATTTTTGCCTTTGTTGCATTTTGTACAGTTTTTATATTTTTGATACTTTGTAAATAAAGACAACCAGCTTTTCCAGGTTCATAATTTATTGTACAAATTGAGTATTACATGATGAGTTGATATTAGCTCCTCCAGGCATGGGACTTAACAGATGAGGTCAGACACTGTAAAATCCTATAAAGAAAGCAAAACCAGTATTGACACAAATGTGTTTGTTCAATTCTGTTAAGATATTTAGAAATTATGAGGACAGGACAATCCATTGAACCCTGAAGAAATTCAGTATAAATTAATCAGTAAGGCCCAAAGAATTATGCTCTCTCAGATACTTGCTTTCCTCCCAAGTTGGAAATGAGACCTAGGACCTAGGACCCAGGACCTGGAAACTAGGCAAGTTCTCTATACTCAGGTACATCCTCAGCCTCCAAACTCGAACAAAAGAGCAGCCAGTAATTCACTAAAATCCTGAAGACAAACTACTGGAAAAGTCTAGTATCCTGAATAGCAGAAAATAGGTATCTTGACATGAGACACAGTTTGCCATTTTAATTGGGTGCAGCCACCCTCCCAGTTACGAGTTACATTATATGGGAAATTAGCCAAAAAACTTATATGGTCGGGAATAAACCATGGGCCACTGCACTGTGGAAGATACAATCTCTTAAGGACCACAGTTTCAGACTGGGAAAGCTTTTAAGAGCAGAAGAAAAATTATCTGTGAAGGAGAATTACATTAGATAAAGATCTGGATTTTGGGCTTTCAACATATCAGTGGCTAACATCAGACATTCACTTAAGCATGGGGTTGAGAGTGTAATATAAGAAGAAAACATTATGGGAGTTGAGAAAAGACAATTACATGAAAACGGAAAACTAGCAAACAAACTACCAAAAGGTAACAAGTTTAATCTGGACTGGAGGTGTAGCTCAGTGGCAGAGCACTTACCTAGTATGCACAATGCCCTGGGTCTGATCCCCAAAACTAAAAAGCGTGAGTTGATTATTAGATGAAGAGCATATATAAGTCATCTAGTTGTTAAATAAGGATAGGAATAGAATGTTACAAAAAGTACAAATTGAAAAAGCAAGAAACATCTCTACCCTGGTACTGGGGACTCATCTAGGAAGCCTGGAGCTACAGCCTCTGTTCCTTTTTAAGACTGTCTTGCTAAGTTGTCCAGGCCGGTCCTGGACGTGTGCCCCTCTTGCCTCAGCCTCGCAATCAGCTGGGACTGTGGGCATCTGGCCTGGTACAAAACTGGACATGTTTCCTTACTCATCAGATTGGCACAACCAGGAAGTAAGCAATGCACAACTGATGAAAGCCAGAGACACCCCCACAAAGCTGCGTGCCTCATGGCCCCTAAGAAACACTCACAGACGCAATGCTGCAGGTCCAAAGCATTCACTGATAACTAGGTTCTTTTTAAAAATATTTTTGGTCTTTTTTTTAAGACAGGACCTAACTATGTAGTTCACGCTGGCCTTGAACTCAAAGTGATCCTCCTGCCTTAACCTCCTGAGTGCTAGTGTTACAGGTGTGCACGCCATGCTCAGCACTATTTTTTAAAAGGCATGGGACATTTCCTCTGAAATATATGAGCATTCCTGCATTCAAATCATGAAAAGGTACTTCGTAAAAATCAAATTGTGGACATGATCGGAGCCTTCAGAAATCAAATACATAACATGCTAAGGCAAAATGTTAACAAAAACTGTCAGGGTAATCACATATATAGGCAATATATTTTCACAAAGTTTATTTTTATAGTAACTGATATAAAAAATGGCTGAGTTAACACTTTTTTTTTTTTTTTAAAAACCAACAGTGGGGACTAAGTCCAGGCCATGAGCATGTTACACAGACATTTTACATTCAGCTACATCTCAAGCTCTTTTAAAATTTTATTTGGAGACAAGGTCTCACTAACTTGGCCAGGCTGGTCACAAACTTGTGGTCCTCCTGCCCCAGCAACGGGCAGCTGGGATTCCAGGCACACACCACCACACCCAGCCAGCCAAAGTTTTAGCGCTAGCTTCTTACCAATTATGCTGCTTTCACAGCTGGCGTTTTTTTAGACCTTAACTTGAAGTACAAGATAAGCATAGCAATGCCTCCATATGTAGCCAGTACACAATTCATTCTACCTGTGAGAGTGTAAGAGTTGAAATACTTTTTGATACCAGTGAACTGGAACTGGGCATCATGTTCTGGACCTGCCATGATTTCAATCTTTAAAGAAAAGAAAAAAATAATAAATTGGCTTGAATGTAATTAAAAAATATTTTAGGTTTAATGCTGTAAGTCATTGTGCGTGATTCTTGTAACATTTTTATCCATGTTTTGCCTCACAGAAGCAATGATGGAAAAAGCCTAGGGAAGCCTCTGGAAGTAGGACTTTAACCTGACTGCTATTTCATAAACACTCCAGGGTTATGTCCTATCATGTAACACAGAAAACACAAGCATTTGCTACGTCCACCCCCACTCCGTATCTGTCTACACTGGTACACTGAATCAGGTTTTTTTTAAGTTCTGAAATTTAGATCTTGCATTCCTTTTGTTTGCTTGCTTTTGCTGTCTTTTGCTTCCAAGAACTGTTGCCCTCTGCCATGTGCCACCCTGCCTTGGAGCCAGCTAATTATGAACTAAAACCTCTACAAACTGTGAGCTAAATAAACTTTAACTGCCTTTAAAAAAAAATTAGGCCTTAAAAACTGTTTTTATTAGTGTGTCTGTGACACATAGTGCCACATTCCTCATGGGGAATTGGTACGTGTGCATTACGCATCTTCATCCTCTTTATGTTTCCTCTGGCTCTTGGTCCCCTTCCCATTTCCAAGTGCTATCTCCCTGTTTCCTATTTTCTTTTTTTAATTTTGCTCTTTATACTTTGGGTTTCTGGGGGTTTTTGGGAGGAAGAGGGGTCTTTTTGAGACAAGGTTTCACTATGCAGTTCAGGCTGGCTTCAAATTTACACATGAGCCTCCCAAGTGCTGGGATTATAGGCTCGCCACCACACCCAGTCTCAATTGCTATCTCAGCACGGCCCCAGGGTGGGGCAGCCTGCAGGCCCAGGTTTTGGCTTTTTTATAGAAGAGAAACCATATGATATTTAAGTTTTTGTGTCTTGATTTATTTCTTTTAAAAGTATAGTCTCTAAGTGCATCCATTTTCCTGCAAATAACATAAATTTGTCTCTTCTTTATACCCTTTGGGTATAAGCACATCTTTTAAATTCATTCACCTGCTGGTGGACATAAATTGCTTCCAAGGTTAGCTATTATGAGTTACTGTTATTATGGGTAGTCCAGGTTGTGCAGCTATAAACATAGGTTTGAATTAACCAATTTTTTGTTGTTCAATTTTATTTTTTCTTTTTGTTTTTGAGTCGGGGAATCTCAATATTCAGTAAAGGCTGATCATGAACTCACTATGTAAGTGGTCTCAAACTCACAGTGATCCTTATGCCTCAGCCTCTTGAGTACTGGGATTACAGGTGTGTGCCACCCACCTGTTGAATGAACTGGTTTTAAGACTAGCAGCTTTTTAAACTTTTTTGAAGGGGTGACTGATAACACCGTAACTTACAACCCCTACTTTTATAGTTTCTCTCTTTTTTTTTTCCATTGCACTTTTATTTGAATGCTAATATTTGAGACAACTGTCCACAGTTTTTTTTATAAATCACTTTAGGACTTCTATGGGAAGGGATCATTTATATTAAATAGAGTTGAAGTACTAGCCATTGTTGGATGGGGAAGCTGTATTCTTTACTCCTTCACAACAAAATAAGATTTTGCAGGGGATGGGGGTGGGGGAGGGATTGAAAGGGTCTTGTCATGTAGTTCAGGCTACCCTTGAGTTCACTCTATAGCTCAGGCTAGTCTCGAACTGACAGTGATCCTCGTGCTCAACTGCTGGGACTACAGGTACCTGGCTGGCCTCAAAGTAAGATGTAATGTAAACAACAAAACCAAAAAGTTCTGAAATACGTAGGAAAATATTTTAATCACCTTGCCAAAGGTGAAATATAAAGAATACCAGGAACAAAAAGGCAAACACATAAAAAGACAACGAACCTTTCAAAGATATGTTAAAAAAACAAACAAATGAGTATTTACCTACCAAACTGGCATAGATAAAACTGTAAGAAGCAGTGTTAAATAAGAACTTGGAACTCAACATTTTGCTGCCTGGGGTATAAACTGATGTAACTTTCCTAAACTACAATTTGGAATATCAAATTTTATCATGAGTTTATGTTTCTGTCTAGCTGGTTCATTTTTCCAAAAATTTACCCTTGTAAGAATATCATAAAGTGGAAATTATGTGGTTCAAGAATAGTCTCTAAAATACTGTGACAGGGTTTCACTGTGCAGTTCATGTGGGCTTTGAACTCACCATGTATCTCAGGCTGACCGTGAACTCATGGTGATCTTCCTGTCTTAGCCTCCAGAACGCTGGGCTGATAGGCATGAGCCACCATGCCCAGCTTTTTACTGTTTATGAAAGTAAAAAACTGTAAAAACTAAGTCTACCTCTAAGCAAAGCTGATAAATAGGTTTTCATTAGCAGAAATACAATGTGCTTGACTTTTGTGCATGGCTATGTAGAGGACCCTAAGTAATGTTAAATAATATAAAATTGCTAGGTATGGTAGCCCACATCTGTAATTCCAGGACTCAAAGAGACTGAAGCAGTAGAATTGCCATAAGTTCAAAGGAAGCCTGGGCTATAAAGTGAGTTGAAAGCCAGCCTAAACTACATAAGACCCTGTCTCAAAAAAACAAAAACCCTCAAAATAATTTAAAAATGATACTGCTTGATAATATAAGAACATCAAAGATTCTTAAATCTGGTCCCTAGACCAGCAGCATGAGCATTGCTGGCAACTTATTACAAATGAAAAACTTTAGGCCCTATCATAGGCCTACCAAATTGACATCTCTGGGGCCTACCAATGTTTTAATAAGGCCTGTAGATAATTCTAGCATACACTAAAGTTCTGGAGAATACATAGGAAACTTTTAAGAGGTATCAGGTCTACAGTTCCCATGTAATTTACAATGGCATGTATTCCTTTTATATAAGAAATGAGACAAAAAATTGCCACAAAATAACAGTTGAAAATTTGTGTGCCTATCTGTCTACCACAACCAGCAGGTTGAGGTCTGGGCGGTATTAGTGGGCAGTGGCAGTGACTCTGCTGGCCTGTGATGAAATGGAAGAGGGAGAGATCAGTGAAGGAGTCGTTGCTATGGAAACTAGCTCACCTTTACCATTTTAAGGCATTCACACGCAGAGAATTGGCATTGTTAATTTAAGATTTTAATTTTGAGCAATTGTTTTAGGGAAATTAAATTTTTTGGTCACTTCATGACTTTGGACAGTCTAGCTCAAGTTGGAAAATCTTTATGAGGGCCAAGGAGATAGCTCAGCAACATGTCTGCCTGGCAAGCACAAGGTCCTGAGTTTGATTCCTGGTAGCCCTCTCAAAATCTTTATGATGCAGTTTTATTATTATTCTTTTTAAGACACAGTTTTGCTATGCAGCTCAGGCTGGCCTTGAACTCACTTTTAGCCCAGGCTGACCTCAAACTTGCAATGATCCTCCTGCCACAGCCTCCCAAGTGCTGGGACTACAAGTGTGCATCACCACTTTCAGCCCATGGTATAGTTTTAATATCAATTCTCATTTTGCTAAATCTACTAAAGATCTATTTCCTCTTTATTTTGTAATGCACTTTTAAATTATGGTACGAAGTATGCTCTTACACAAAAAAACACTACAGAAACAAGTGCTTAACTGTATCAACTTGTTAATTGACATCTCCCATGCAACATGCCTAATTTTTTTAGGAGGGTGTGGTGTCCAAGAGAGGCATTAAGGTGCTTTAAATTTCACTCTGCCCATGGACTAAGACAAGTATCTGTGGTATTCCAAAGAAAACTAATTCTGTCCGCAGGAAAAGGCATGGCAGAGGAGCTGACATTCAGTGTAGATTCTAAAAGAGGTTTCACAAGAGGCTGAGATGGAGAGCGGCAGTGTTGCAGGTGAGATGAACAATGCAAGTAAGCCCCAAATACCTATGCGTAGCCCTTAGCAAGAAGCACACTGTAGGACAAAGATCAGGAGGCCTTGTTTTGGAGTGAACTTTGGGGAATAACTGAACGGACCCTTGATTCCCTTTAAGCCGGACTTTTTAAACGTATTAATGAAGGAGAAAAATCACCTAAGCCTCATACCTGTGAACTTGCGCTTTAGTGTTGTTCCATGATACCCTGTGGGGAAGTCTAAGGGCACGGGGCCGCTGCCTCAGTTTCTAATTAAGGCGCTCACCACTCTGAAACTATAATTCCTTCACGCGTCTCTGCCTTAAAACGAGCATTTCATGAAAGACCCGAAGTGACCAGTTGCCCGGGGTAGGCTCTGTCTTCGACACGCCGTTCTGCCGTCCGACTGCGGAGAGTGAGACCACTAGGCAGCGGTGAACCGCACTCGAGCGCGCCGCCCTCGCACTGGGGAGCTGCCGCTCCGCTCGGCTCCGCGCGACGAAAGCCTGCGGCCGCTCCCACAGACGCAGCCCGGCCTCCGGGCGCGGGGCCGGGAGCTGCAGGCGCCCGCCGCGCTCTGCTGGCCGCCAAGGATCCCGGAGGCCTGGCCGCCAGCTTCGCAGTAGCAGCTCAGGCGGAACGTTCCGGCGCTAGCAGGTGACTTCGGCCAGAGTCGTGGGTACGTCACCAGGTGACCTTGAGGGACTCCCGTGCGGCGCATCTTTGTCCAGGGGACACTGCGATCCCAGGGCGTCGGGCGTCGGGCGCCGCGCCCCGCGGCGGCTGCCCCCTCCCGCGGGTCCCATTTCTCTAGCTCCCCTTTCCACCCCCCACCGTCCTGCCTCTCAAAGCGAAGACCTCGCGGTGTTCTCGGGCCAGGAACGGTCAGACTAGGGTCAGCCCTGCAAAGCTGAGGCGCGAAGTCGGATCCCGAGCAGCCCGCTTCACTCACCTCGCCAGAAACACCGCAGCTAACGTCCTTCAACCCGCACCTCCGCCGCCACAGCTCGGCCGGAAGAAGCCGCCTCCTCGCCCGCGCGCAACTGGCCTTCGGCGACTCGGTCTTCTCCGCCGATTGGCTGGGAGCCAAGCCCCGCCCTTCCGCTTCCGGCCTCCAGCTTCCTGTCTAGTCCCGTAGATTTCGATTTAGTACCGGAAGTAGCGTTAGAGCCCGCCCACACGCCCGGAAGAGCGGCATGGCGATTTAGACTTGCTGGTCTTCTCTCGTGTGCGGGTTTGGGGGCTTCGAGGTAAAAGGGAGCCAACGCCGCGAACTTGGTGAGTGGGGCCGGAAGCAAGAAGGCCAGAAAGCTCGTGCCTGTCCGGTCCGCCCGGCCCGGTTCCCCGGTCCGTGCCGAGCGTCTCCCGGTTGGGGTGCGTGGTTCGTCCACCCGGGCCAGGTGTGATCTAGTGGTTCCTGTACCCCCGGGCTTTCCTCGGAAAGAACCGTTCAGTCCTTTCTCGGCTCCTAGACACCCTACTTTTTGGAGCCTCAGTTTGTCTCTGAAAGGAGAGTAAGTGTTGAAGTCCCCAGCAAACTAAATCTCTTCCACTTTGCTGCTGTAGGAAGCACGTGCCCTTGACTCCGTGTCTTGAGCACCTTCTCCTGAAGCGCCTCTAGATTCTTATTCCCAGGTACCTAAACTGTTTCTAATTTAACGTCTTACCCACCAGAGCTTCGCGCTCCTTACAACTTAGCTGCAATTATGCTGTGTTCTTCTTGCGCTTAAACAATTCTTCAAAGAAAGGCAGCAGCAAGCCTTTGAATGATGGCTTAATATGCAGATAGCCTGTGTTTATTGAATAATACGTGCTTTTTTAAAAAATAAAACAGTCTTGACTGTAGCTCAGGCTGGCCTCTAACACAGGCGTCTCAGCCTCCCAAGTGCGTGGATCACAGTATGCTTCACCGTGCCTGTCTTGTGTGCGCTTTTCCGAAATGCTTTTGTGCCTGTCAGTAAGTTCGTCTTGTGACATTCACCTCAAGGTATCTTCCTTTGAAGCTTGCCTCCTTTGCAGAAGTCTGTACTTCGGTTTGTATTTTAGATTGCTTGTACAACTTTTGTCTTCTAAATGTATGCATTTGAAATAAGGGTTTATATATTTTTCTGTGTATGTCTGACTTGTATAATGGTAGCTGCTTAAGTGCTACTTTCTGCATTGAATCTAACTCCTTTGCTTACAAGAAGGTGTGTGGTTTGTAGTTTGAAGAAGTCTTTGGAAACGTGATACGTAGACTAGCTGGAAGCGTCCCGATCCTCTGTCGTAGCCCTAGTTCTTGCCTAGCACATGACTGGAAGATTCTGTTGCCTGTCAATTCCAGTCTTTATGAAACCTGGACCATTGGTGCATCTCACAGTTGTTCTTTCCGTTGTTTTTAGGAGTCCCAGAATGGCAGCCCTAGAAGAAAGCTTTCCTCGAGGGGGTACAAAAAGGATTAACAAATCAGAGAAATCTTACCAGCAGTCAGTTGAACATGACAATTTATTTGATGTAAGTAGAATGCTTTTTTTTTTTTTAATGAAAATCACTAGAGGGCTGGTGAGATGGCTCAGTGGTCTAAAGCACCTACTTAGAACAAGCTTAGCAAAGCACAGGGACTGCGGTTCAATCCCCCAGCACCACATGCCAGCCAGCCCCGCCCCCTGGTGGGCTGAGCTGGCCACACACACACACACACATAAATAAATTAAAAAATAAAATAAAAGAAAAAGAAAACTGTTCACCTTTACATCTAAAAAAAAAAAAAAAAGAAAATCACTAGAGACCTCCTTTCTAGCAGCTTAATAAAGAAAAGTCCTTATTTTCTGGTTCTGTGTCTTCCCAAGATCTGCTTCAATGAGTTGAACTTGTTAGACTTTACAGAAAAAACATATCTTTTAAAGTGTAACATTATTATTTCGGGTGTGAAGTGCCTTTTGTTCTTAGGGATTCTGTGCCATGTTGATTAACAATGGAAAAAAGCAATTTGATCCTTGTTTCTGTTTTTGTTTTTAATGTGTTTGGTGTAGGGTCTCACTATGCAGCGCGATCTCATAGTGATCCTCCTGTTTTCAGCCTCCCCAGCGCTGGGATTACAGGCGTGCACCACGCCCAGTCTCAGTTGGGCGGGAGCAGCATGTGGTGCTAGGGATCAAACTCCAGTTCCTGCGCTTGCTTAAGCAGGTGCTTAGTCTGCTGAGCCCTTCTTTGTTTTTGAGACAGGGTTTCACTATGTAGTTCAGGCTCGCTTTGAACCCTTAATGTAGCCTGGTCTGGCCTTGAACTTGGAGAGATTATCCTGTCTCAGCCTCCCTTGTGCTAGGATCACAGGCATGTGCCACCAAACCTGCCTTCCTATCATCATATTTTTAAAACAGATTTTTACTGTGTTTAACTGTCAGAATTTTCATTAAAAATGTGTGGTCTTCCCTGGAATAGTCTGTACTTTAGATCCTAGAGGGGAGGGTACCGGGTTTTTTTCAATGTATGGCTTTACGTTTATATTATGTGATCTTTCCTACTGTTGTATATTGTAAAGTAGAAATTCCAACTCCACAATAAAGAACTGAGGCTCAGGGAGATTATATATGTAGTTGAAAAATACGGAGCTTGTCAGGGAAGCATTTGGGAGTGGGATGGGTGCAGTGGGAGACTAACAATAACAGCGAGGTGATGGATGGTCCCGAGTGGGAGGCAGGGGCAGGACTTGCTGCCTCTCATTCTTTTGGACCTTTGTCATTTTTCCTCTTTAGATTTCCACTGAAGAAGAATCTGCCAAAAGGAAAAAGAATCAGAAAGGCCCAGCAAAAGCAAAAAAGTTGAAAATTGAAAAGAGAGAGAGGGGCAAGTCGGTAAAAGAGAAGTTTGAAATCCTTAGTATTGAGGTTTGTTAAATTTGGTTTTCTTTTAGCATGCTACCTCGGTTCATTTTATGTTCTTTTCTCTTTCTTCATTCTCCCATACGTATGCACATAATAAGTATTTCACGTATGTGTCTAGAGATTTTTACAAATTGCGCTGAGAATTGAGCATTATTTCCTTTGGTTGCTCACCACTGCCTAGAATCCTTTTTTTTTTTTTTTTAGATGCCATCTTCTTGCAGGTGTTTCCGTTGAGCTTACATATTAGCAGATTCAGAAGTTAAAATTGTCAGTTAACTTCAGCAGTCATTCTAATTCTATGCATTGGCCTTGTAGGTATACAGCTACCTCAGAAGAGATACAGTCTTAGATTTTTTAAAGTTTTAGATTATAACTTCCAATATATGTTAGCTGTAAAACAGAAAAGAAAGAAAAAGGATTCTTAGAGGGAAAGATTGAGTTTCAGCCCTTGGGAATGTTTTGCTTGTCCTTCATACTTTGAAAACAAATTGTTCAGCAAAGTGTTTAATCCTGGTTCCTCACGAAAATTTGTAAGCACTGATGTTTGTGGTCACCAGGAGCGTTTAGGGGCTGTGCCTGTTAGAGCCAGCAGGCGTGCTGCACCCTGCTGCTTTTGTCTCGTCGTCTTCTCCATGTCATCTGTGAGGTGTTTGAGTTTGGGTTGGTTGGGACATGCTAAAAGGCAAAGATATCCTCTAGATGTAGACCTTTTATAGTGTATGGTCAGGTATCTGGTAAATAACTCAGCAGGTAGCACACACGTATCTATTTCTATTTACTAATTATCCATAGCTTACAAGTGTCAGCATTCAGGCTCAAAGCTACACTCCCTAACTTTCCTATCATTTTCTTTCTTACTGTGCACTTTTCTTTTTTCTTTTCTAGTCCCTGTGTGAAGGAATGCGGATTTTGGGTTGTGTCAAGGAGGTAAATGAGCTAGAACTGGTGATCAGTCTGCCCAATGGCCTCCAAGGGTTTGTGCAAGTGACTGAAATCTGTGATGCCTACACCAAAAAGCTGAATGAGCAAGTGGCACAAGACGAACCCCTGCAGGTGAGGGGATCTGCGTGAAACCTGCTCGGTGCTGGCAAGTGCATGAGAAAGTACCAGGTGGCCTAAGTGCTCAGCTGAAAAGGCTCAGGTGCCATGGCAATTTGTAAGAAGGGGTTTGTATGTTGTTTTTTGAATGGTTAAGGGGGCTTTAGTCCTGGGAACCAGGACGACCTCTATAAGGAAGGGCTATTTGAGCAGAAATCTGAAGGCTAAAAGATTGGTTCAGGCAGGAGTAGCATGCTGTGTAACAGAGAGAAGGCTGGTGTGGTAAAAGAAGCAAGGGAGAGAGGTGTGGGGTGGGAGAGCTGAGTGGGAAGCAGCTCAGACATGGCTTCGCAGGCCATGCAGAGGCCTTCGCAGGCTTAAATTCTAGAAGCTTTTGAAGTGTCCCACTGGGGTGGGTGATGGGTTAGACACCAAAGCAAGTAGATAGAAGAGGCAGGAGAAGTTGCTAAAGATCAATTAGGATATAATTTTAGTAGTTCAGATTCAGAGATTGATGGTACCTTGTGTCTGGGATCTACCGAGAACTGAGGAAAAAGCCATGGCCTAATAAAAGATTCATTATTGATCATAAGGCAGAGGTTCTAGGTCTGTTGTACATGGTTTGATGGGAGAGATGATTGTAATTTGCTTTTTTGGTGTGTTCGAGATACAGCTGAGATATCCAGTGGGTACTGGGCATGGAGAAGTCTAGGCCAGAGCCCAAAATGCATAGGTAATAACGGAAGCTGGGAGTGAAGTTGCTTATGGGTAGCAAATGAGAATGAGAAGAGACTGAGTATAGAATGAGAACATTTTGATTTTTAATTGCTGTGTTGAAGGAGCATTGCATCAGATAGAGGCCACATAAACTAAAGGGAGGAAATGCGTAAGGAAAGATGTGGACAGGGCCGGCCAGATAGCTCAGCGGACCAGAGCGCCTACTTAGGCAGACGCAGTGGCCGGGATTCAATCCCCGGCGTGCTGTGCCAGCCCCGCCCCCAGGCTGCACTGACACTGGGCATGGTGGCACGCACCTGTAATCCCAGTACTTGGGAGGCTGAACACAGGAAAATCACTGAGTCCTGTCTGTGTAGTAGGACCCTATAGACCCTGTACTAAAAATACAAAAAAGAAAAAAAGGAGCAGACAGTAGTGTGAAGTGCTTTTTAAAGGTTTTGTAAGAGGACTGGGATGTAACTCAGTGGCAGAGCGCACAATTAGCTTGCACGCAGCCCGAGTTTTTGTCTACAGCATGGACGCATAAATAAAAAGTAAATAAGTGAATATAGATCTCGTAAGAAAGGACTGCAGAACACCAGTGGACTTAGTGAGGTGAACTTACAGTGATTTTTTGGGGGAAGATAAAGTGGTAGAGTCAGGGTTGAAAGACAAGAGTAGGAGTTGAAGTGGAGTCAGTTAAATGGAGCCAAGCACCCCCCCCCCTTTTTTTTTGGCGGAACTGGGGATTGAACTCAGGCCCTTGCGCTTGCCAGGCAAGGGCTTATTCTACTGAGCCATCTCAGCCCCAGAGACAACCCTTGACAGATCATTAATATTTGCCTGGTACATAGAATATTTGGATTCAAAGGTGTGACTTGGCTACAGAGCTGTGTTCCTGTGTAGGTGGTGTGGTTATTTAGCCATACACATTTTGCACACTCTGAGGTTGGAGGGCGAGAGGTCACTGAGTCAAGGCTAGGCAGTGGATTCTTGGTTCAGGAAAAGGTATGCACCAGGACTTTCTCATTCGTATTATGCAGGACCTACTCCGCTTGCCTGAACTTTTCTCGCCTGGAATGCTGGTGAGATGTGTTGTAAGCAGTGTGAACATCACAGATAAAGGCAAAAAGAGTGTCAAGCTCTCTGTGAACCCCAGAAATGTCAACAGAGTGCTGAGCGCTGAGGCCCTGAAGCCCGGCATGGTAGGTATCTGGGTCAGAGATGAGGAGCTGGCTCTAGCTTCCCCTTGCCCTGGGCCATAGGCATGCTACATGTGGCTGCCCTTTAGTTTTAGCCTAACTGCTGCACGCACACAGATGTGAGTCTTGTCCTGGAAGGAAGGCTTCCTGGGTGCTTCGTGAATACTGAAAACGTGAACTCGTTTCACGGCATTGGAGGGGAGAAAGGGAAGCAAGTCCAGCATCCACTGGTGTCTAGTAAGGTTCCCGTCAGGAGCCTTCCCCGGGATTTCTGCCGGTGAGCGATCCCCCTCATGCTTCACAGAGTTACTTTTTTCAGAGGCATCTGGCATTCATGTGGCATGTTTGGGGCTCTTCTTGGGCAGAGACAGGCTAGACAGTGCGTTTCCTCTTCGTACCTACCCTGTGGAGGTTCGGGAAGGGTTGGTGCTGGGCAGACCCAGAAGCTGCACTCCTGTGACTCTAGTCGTTAAGGAGCAGGAAATCGAGGTGATTGACATGTCCTCGTAATGTTTGGTTAGAAGCAGTGAGATTTGGAAAAGGCCTGGGAGGACTGGTAGGATTTATTTGGGTAAAAAAAGAATAACAGTAAGCCAAATTGCAGGGAACAGATATCAAGAGCCTGTTCCATGACAGAATCTTCCAGCATGTACCTTGTGTAGCCCCGTGGCAAGTGCATACTGTCTTGTGCATTTGAGGAGGTAGTCTCAAAGGTGTGACTTACCAGAAACCAGGGAGCTAATGTCGCAGCCACCCTGCTTCCCATGAAATGTAGAGACGGTCAGTAGGGTTTTTGAGGCTTGGATATGTTTGAAAGAGACATACTAATGGCTAGAAGGGTAACTCTGGATTTACTTGTAGTTGGGGCTCTGGGAATGCCCTTGCAAGGCCATGCAGTCTATCCCTCTTTGCATGACAGGAGTCTTTTCCCTCTTCTGTCTTTTAGTAGGATTGCGATTTAAAGCTAACATTGGGAACTGTAGTTACAGGACAGAATTAAGATGAATGGTGGGCACATTGATGTTGGCTAGCTGTTTGTTGTCCACCCTGTAACCTCTGGCTGGGGTCTTGGGAATGTTTCCTTTTCTCCCAGCTGCTGACAGGTACTGTGTCCAGCCTGGAAGACCATGGCTACCTAGTGGACATTGGTGTTGGGGGAACCAGAGCTTTTCTGCCACTGCAGAAAGCCCAGGAATATATTGGACAGAAGAACAAAGGTGAGGGCAGAAAGAGAGGCTGCTACCTGGGCGTGAGGTGGTACGTGTGAGGGTAATATTTACTACCTTTTTTTTTTGGACTTAGCCCACCCTGGGGCAGGGCTCGTGCGGCATGTGGTGCCAGGGGTTGAACCTCGGTACCCTGTGCCTCCCTAAGCTTGCCTAAGCAGGCGCTTTAGACCAATGAGCTATCTCACTGGCCCTGAGGGTAATATTTAAATGCCAGTTTGGTAAGAAGTGTGACAGAGTGGTGACCTCAGACATTGGTTTTAGGAAGATCAGGCTTAGTCATCAATGGTAGGAGAGGGAACTTGTTGAAGGGCCAGGGAGTGCCAGGGTCTCACAGAGAGCTGGTGGTCAGTTTTCAGTTCTCACCTAGTAAGATTTTACTATAGTTTGGCTTCTGCACTTTCACAGCTTATTGAAATGTTCATGTTTTTGTAGGGTAGTTGAATTCCAAGTTACTTACGGCAGCTTCATTCCTTTCTTGTAGCTGGTCCCTTAGAGATTGGGAATGTGGGGAATACTGGATGTTAACTGGGAAAGTAAGCCACTAGTGCTCTCTGGTATTGCTTGGGCCCATGTATAGGTGTTTCTCAGAGATGTATTTAACCTTTTGGGGTTGGGGCTGGGCTTACAGGTGCTAAGTTGAAAGTGGGTCAGTACCTGAACTGCACCATCCAGGAGGTCAAAGGCAACGGAGGAGTTGTTAGCCTGTCTATAGAGCAGTCAGAGGTTTCTACGGCCCTTGCTACCCAGGAGCAAAACTGGACCCTTAATAACTTGCTGCCAGGGCTGGTGGTCAAAGCCCAGGTACAGAAGGTAAGCTGATCACGTTGCTACCATTTTCTAACAGAAAAGCAGTTATTATTAAAGTATTAATGTACGTGCCGTCTAACTGTGCTGTTGGATGGGCGGCCATTAGTCACGTGTGGTCATTGACTACTTAAAATGTGTCCAGTGCCATTTGTTGAAAATAATAGTTTGGACATACTGGGTTAAATCAACTATACTAAATAAATTGCGAGGTAGCTCAGAGGTAGAGTGTGTGCCTAGCGTGGTGGGGCTTGTGTTTGAGCCCTAGGGTTGGGAAATAGAGGTTCCCTGCTGTGGATTCTAAAATATGACTGCCAGAGACTTAATTACTTCTTTGGGTTTTTGTCTGTTTGTTTTGTTTTATTTTTTGTCTTTCTGAGGCAGGGCCTCACTGTTTAGTTCAGGCTGGCTTTGAACCCAGGCTAGTCGAACTACCGTGATTCTCTGCCTCAGCCTCCTGAATGCTGCGATTACAGCATGCGCTGCCACTCCAGGCTCAAGTTACATATTTGGCTTGAGTTTTATGTCATTTAGACTAATGTTAAAGGTCAAATTACATTAAAAGGAGTCTAATGAAGAACTATGTCATCTAATTCCTGCCTTTATTAGGTTAGCTCTTGAAATTTTCCTCCATATTTCCAAGTGAGACACTTCTGCTCATTTCTGTTCTTTTATTGATCTTATGCATTGAGTTTTGTTTTGTTCTTCCTTTCATTTTGGTATTTTGAGACATAGTCATATCATAGTCCAGATATGAAGAGGTATCTTGTGATTTTGATTTGTATTTTCCTACTGATCAGTGGGATTGAGCATCTTAATTAGCCATTTAGATAGCTTCTGTCTACTCAGATCCTTTCCCTGTTTTGAAATTAGGTCGTTTTTGTTGATAGACTTCATTGTCAAAAACAGTAGCAAATAGCTTTCACAGAAAATACGTTTCGTGGGCTGGGGAGATAGCCCAGTAGAATAAGCACCTGCCTGGCAAACGCAGGGTCCTGAGTTCAATCACTAGTACCACACAAAAAAAAACAAAACAAACCAAAAATATGTTTCCTGTTTTCTGTGAAGGAGAGAGGGTGGATCCTGTGAGAAGAGGAGCTAGGGAGCCGACTCAGTGTCTTCATGTCAGCATCCTCCCTCACAGATCTCTTTTGAGGTGCTCACCATCTTGGTTTTGGGGAGGCTCTAGAGGGTGAATCAAGGGCTGGCCAAATAGCTCAGCAGATTAAAGTGCCTATAAGTAGGCACAGGGGCTGGGGGTTCAATCCCTGGGCCTGGCATGCCGGCCCCGCCCCCTGGGGCTCACTGAGATGGCAGTTGAACCTGGGTGTGATAGCACGTGCCTGTAATCCCAGCTCTTGGGAGGTTGTAAACAGGTGGATCACTATGAGTCCATTCTAGTAGTGAGACCATGAATATGAGTCCAATCTAGTAGTGAGATCCTGGACACCCTGTAGACCCTTCCTTAAAATACAAAAAGAAAGAAAGAAATGGAGGGAGGATCAGTTTGTTCTTCGTCATTCTGTCCTTTAAGCATTTGGGTTTAACCTTCTTGGTTTTGACTAATGTCCAAGTTAGTGGCAATTTATTTGAGTTGCCAGGCTGGTAGTTATCTAAGGGTACTTGTGTAAAGCTCCTTGCAGCTCACGAAGACATCCAGAGCACAGGGACCGTGGTTCAGTTCCAGGGTGTGCAGTGCCAGCCCCGCCCCCAGGGCGCACTGCTACTGAGACTGGGTGTGGTGGCGTGTGGTGGCGCACATCTGTAAGCTTAGCACTTGGGAGGCTGAAAACAGGAGGGTCACTACAAGGTGATCTGTGTAATGAGACTCTATAGACCCTGTACTAAATACAAAAAAGAGGCATCCAGAGGAGGGGAGGATTGATGGCAACTCCTAAGCTAGGAGGAACAAAAGCTTACTAAATAAGAGAGCAGCCAGTGCTTGGAGTTGTCTTGCCACCTGACTTTACAGGAAGAGAAACTGCTGAGAGCTAGCTGGGAGCAGAGAGACGCATGGTGGGTGAGGCCGCGCTGAGTGCTACGAGCAGAATCTCTTACCATCCTGCTTTCTTCAAAGAAACAACGTGTGCTGCTTGCTTCCAGGTGACTCAGTATGGCCTGAGCCTGAGCTTCCTCACATTCTTCACCGGCCTGGTGGACTTCATGCACCTGGATCCTAAGAAAGTCGGCACGTATTTCACACATCAGACAGTAAGACACGTTGTCCCTGACTTTCCTTGATTCCAGCTGCATCTCAGACAGCTGCCCAGTGTCCTAGTTAGACTGCAGGTGTGCAGCAGCGCAGAGCGGTGTGGGGTGATGGGAAGTGCTCTGGGGTGAGCATAGCAAGAAGCTACCAGCGGGGGGGGAGCTGTGGTTAGGAGTCCGGGCGCATAAGGCAGCTCGTAGTTCTTACGTGTATCCCGTATAGTTTGATCAGGGGATCAGTAAGTCATTTGATTTTTTGTTTGTTTTGTCTTTAGATAGGGTTTCTACATAGTTCTGGCCTGTTTTGAACTCACTGTGTAGCCCATGGCGATCCTCCTGCATTAGCAGCGAGTGCTGGCATTACAGGTGTGTGCCGCCAAGCCTAATTGTTTGCTTTTATAACCTAAAAAGGAGAAGTTTTTGGAAAAGTAACATAGAATTGGATAGGTTTAAGTACAAAAGTGCACTTTAAAATATTCTGTGAGGTCTGGGATGTGGCTCGGAGGTAGAATGCTTGCCTCGTATGTGTAAAGCCCTGGGTTCCATTGCCACCATTGTGGGCTAGTTCTGTAAGTAGTGAGTACGGTAGTGCACTAGATTGATGGATTTCGAGTAGTATACTAGATTTTTTAAAAAGCACATCTGGCTAAAAATGTTAGAAGATTATCCAGTCAAATGTTAATAGTGGTTACCCCGGGTGATTTTTCTGTACTTACTTAAATATTGAAATTGTATACAACATGGGTGTTTAGAGAGAACATCTAGGTATGCTTTTCTAGAATTATTTTAATTCTCCAATCATTTAAAACATTTTTTAAAAAATAATGCGTACTTAGGGATACTATAAAGATTTTTAAAAGAAGAGCGTTTCCTCCCACCTAGTAACAATACTCTTGGCGTTTTGGTAGTGTTTTGCTTCCTGAGGTCATTTCATACGCATGAAGTTAAGCGGCTTCGCGTGTGTTAGCCTTGTGACTAGAGCAGGCCTAGGGGCACATTCAGAGAAGCGGAGGCTGCAGTGACGTCAGTAGGTGCTTTTTGTTGTCTCTGCGTCACGCTTGGCTGCTGAGGAGATGCCAGTGTATGTTTTCCTGGCCTTAAGCATTGATTTAGTCAAAGTCTTTCTGGGACATGTTGATTTTTCCATATGCTTCTTGATTACACAGTCAGACCTTAGTATTTACTTAATTAAGGATGTTCTTATATTTTTGGTCAACACACAGGAACCTCAGAAAATCTACTCAGCCAGGGATGGTGGAACACACCAGTAATCCCAGCATGTGGAAGGTTGAGGCAGGAGGATTGCTGTTAGTTCAAGATCAGTGTCTGCATAGTGAATTCAAGGCCAGCCTGAACTAAATAGGCCCTGTCCAAAGGAGGGAAACGAAATGAAGCAGAAAAAAGGGAAAAGGAAACGAAACGAAGCGGAAAAAAGGGAGAAATGAAGTCTCGGCAGTTTTCCTTGTGGCTCTGCTCATCCTTGCCCTTTCTCTTGCCCAGGTGAGGGCCTGCGTCCTCTGCGTGCATCCTCGGACCAGAGCTGTGCGCCTGAGCCTGCGCCCCCTCTTCCTGCAGCCTGGGCGTCCTCTCACTCGGCTCTCCTGCCCGCACCTCGGAGCTGTGCTGCAAGATGTCCCTGTCCAGGGCTTTTTCAACAAGGCAGGGGCCACTTTCAGGCTGAAGGATGGGGCCCTGGCCTATGCTCGGGTATGGCGACTTTGATTTTGGCAAGGATCTCCTCACCAGAACAACTTCAGGACGCGTGTTACCTTGCTGTTTCCCTTCTGCCTCCCTCATCTTTTGATACTGGTCTCTTATTGTTAGATCTCTTCATCAGTGAAACACTGTTGGTAGGGATTAGAATGGTATCGGTTATACTAGAATGCATTAGAACCAGCTTGCCGTATACCTGGCTAATGCTACCTTTAAGAATGAGTTAGGGGGCTGGTGAGATGGCTCAGTGGTCTAAAGCACCTACCTAGAACAAGCTAAGCTAAAGCACAGAGACCGCGGTTCAATCCCCCAGCACCACATGCCAGCCAGCCCCGCCCCCTGGTGGGCTGAGCTGGCTACACTCACACACACACACACACACACATAAATAAAAAAAAAATTAAAAAAAAAAAAAAAAGGAATGAGTTAGGATGTAGCCAGGCGTGGTGCCACACAGCTGTAAGCCCAGCGCTCAGGAGGCTGCAGCAGGAGGATCGCCGAGAGTTTGGGACCAGCCTGGGGCTACACAATGTTTTTAAGGTCAGCTGAACAGTATAACAAAGCTGTCTAAAAAACAAAAGAATGAGTCAGGATCTAGACCAGGGCTCCACACATTTTTTATTAAAGGGTCAGGTAATGAATACTTGAGGCATAATGGCCCTTGGTCTTTATCTTAGCTACTCAGTTGTAGATGAAAACAGCCGTAGATAGTAGGTAAATGAATAGAAATGGCTCTGTGCCAGTAGAACTTTTCTTCTTAACTGGCGTATGAGTTTGGTTTATTAACCCATGATCTAGACTATTCTCTGATCCCATTGAAATTCCAGAATAATGAAGAGTGAGAAAAATAATCAGAAAAAAAAGAAAAATAATCAGAGCCGGGTAATCCCAGCACTCGGCACAACTGTCCTTTTTTTTTTGTACTGGGAATTGAACTCAGGCTAGCACTTGTGCCACTGAGCTATATTCCCAGCCCATAATCCCAGCACTTGGGAGCCTGAGGCAGGAGGCTTGCTGGAAGTTTAAGGCCAGCCTGGGCTGCATACTGAGCTCAAGACCAATGTCAATTGCATAGTAAGACCCTGTTTTGAAAAAACAGCACCGAAGAGTTGGTCAGAGCACTTTTCATGGTGGGCTGGGTGATGCACACGTCAGACATCAGTTTGCTTTGAGTCTGACTTAGACCTGTTGCCTCTGCTGCACTCCATCACCTGCTGTTTTGCAGCTTGGCCATCTCTCTGATTCCAAGAATCTCAAACTGGAGGCTTTCAAGCCTGGGAACACTCACAAGTGCAGAATTATTGACTTCAGCCAAATGGACGAGCTGGCTTTGCTCTCCCTGCGGACGTAAGTCTTCCTGACCCACGCGGGATGTGGCATGTGCCCCCTTTCTCTAGGCCTGGCTGGGTCAGGGTGTCCTTTCTCATAGCATGACTCTGGTAGTCCTGAAGTTACAGTTCTAGCTCTGGTTTATTAATCTTGTCTTTTCTTTTGTAGGTCTGTTATTGAAGCTCAGTACCTTAAATATCATGATATCAAAACTGGCACAGTGATAAAAGTAAGCCCGAAAACATATGCCTAGTTGCTCCTCCAGCTTTGTGCATTCTGTAGTTCACGGGTTGCCTTTCAGCTCACCAGTCCTGCTAACTCACTGGCATCATGTTCCTTGCCTCTGCCCGCTGACTAGAATTTCTTCTTGGGGCCGGGGAGATGGCTCAGTAGAATAAGTGCTTCCCTGGCAAGCGCAAGGGCCTGAGTTCAATCCCTGGTTCCGGAAAAAAAAAAAAAAAAAGAAAGGATTTCTTCCTCTTCCCTTAGGTAACTTGTAATTTATAGACAAGTTCTTACCTACCATTACCAAACTACCCAGAGGCAGTTGGTTAAAGTCCTGGAATTTGGGACTTGGTGGTAATTATACGGATAATAGCCCCTAACCCACATGCTCAGGGATCGTTGAGCTCCTTGGGATGTTAGTAAGACAGACGGCTTGAGTTGTCTGCCCGCCAGTTGTGGAGGCTTGTGGCACAGCCTGCCTTCCTAGGTGGAGTTCGTTGCTCCTTCCGGGGCTGTTCTCAGAGACAGTACACATTCAGCCCAAAGGAAGTGCAAGAGCCAGGTGTGGTGGACCCAATCTTCACTCGGAGGATTAGGCGAGGAATCACAAGTTCAAGCCCAGCCTGGGCAGTTTAGTAACTTAGCAGGACTGTGTCAAAAGAAGAAAAAGGCTGGTGATGCAGCTCAGTGTGAAAGCCTTAAGTTCAGTCCCCCCATTCTCATTAAATAAAAAGGCTTCTTTAAACCTAGCTAAAGCTAGATCTGTGTGGGTGCAGGATCTCTAGTAACAGTTGTAGTTAGCCCAGGAGGGTGAGCTTGAAAGAGGTGTGTTGTGTTCAGGAGGGAGGGAGACTGTGCAGGGGCCTTTTCTGTGCTCTTCTAGGGCACGGTGCTGACCATAAAGCCATTTGGGATGCTGGTGAAGGTGGGTGAGCAGATGAGGGGCCTGGTGCCGGCCATGCACCTGGCTGACATCCCGATGAAGAATCCGGAGAAGAAGTACCGCGTCGGGGAGGAGGTCAAGTGCCGGGTGAGCCTCCTGGAGGGATGCTACTGCGGGTTTGGCTGGCTGGAAAGAGCATTTCTGCCTTTTCCACGAAGCATGTAATGTGTGCAGTCTGTCCATAGCTGTGCCTGGCTTACAGCACAGAAAGGTGAGTCCCTGTCCTTGAGAATCATGTGGTGTCTTTGGGGATTAAAACACCCACTGAGGGCCGGAGAGAGAGCTCAGTGGCACAGCGCCTGCCTGGCAAGTGCAAGGTCCTGAGTTTGACTCCTGGTACCAAAAAAAAGGAAGCGAGAACAAGGTAGGGTTTGACCTTTCGCCTTCAGGGTTTTTATACATGATGTAGGCTGACTAAATCTGATTATTGAAACGGAATGATGTCTTACCTTTTTCTCATTGCTAAGATAAAAGTACTTGATACTCACTGCTAAAGAGGGAAAGGTTTAGCTCACAGTTTGTGGAGGTTTCTGTCTGTGATTGGGAGGCTCCAGGGCAGGGTGGCACATGGCACAGGGCAGCAGCTCAAGGTGCGGAAGACAGCAGAAGCAACAAGGAGGCTAGACTCTTTCTGTTCCATCTGTTGTGTGCAGGCTGCCCGCCCTGGTGCCAGTGTGGCCCTCAGCCTTGGTCCTAGCCAGAGCTGTGGCAGCCGGGCAGTAGACCGATCACACACCCTTAATCGCAGCATCACACGCTCAGACTCAGCCACCTCTGAAAAAGCCCTGTGACCACCCACATGAGGCTTTGAGGTGCTGTGTAGGCATAGCCATGACAGGGCTGGGAGGCTGGGCTGGAGCAGCAGAAACAGTGTTCCGGTTGGATCCGCCCTGCCATGGGTGTCCTGTGCCAGCCGCTGTGGCAGGGCCCAAGTGCACAGTACTTCATTTGATTCTCAAACCGCCCTACAGTATGTATGTTGTCCTCACTTTGCAGTTGGAGAGATTAAGGCTTCGAGCTGAGTGCCTCGTCTGCAGGCACCTTATAGAGCTAATAAGCGGCTTTATGTAACACTAATGCCTTCTGGATTTGTGGCAGAGATGGGACCTGCACTAGAAAGGATCTGTAGGACTCAGAAGGGAAAGAGTATGGTGTGTGTTGCAGGCACAGAAGTGCCGCACACAATGCCATGAGACGGAGTGGTGGGTTGTTTTGTTTTTGTGGTGGTCTTGGGGATTGAACTCAGGACTTGCACGTGCGAGGCAGGCACTTAAGCCACTGAGCTGTATCCCTGGCCCACTGAAAACTGAGTGTGTGCTAAGCACAGCCCGGTGGGCATAGCACTCCGTAGTTTTTCAGGTTGTGGTCTTATATTGGCGCTGAGATTTGAACCCAGAGCCTCATATGTGCTCAGCACACATCCTACCGCTGTACTACACTCCTTGTCTAGGTTTTCTTCTGTGTTTTATTTTGTTATTATTCACAAAGATATTGGCTGCCCCTTGGTACCTATTCTTACATAGTGAGGTCATGAGGTAAAAATGGCGCTTCTGTGCCCTCAAGGAGGTGAGCTGAGGGCTGGAAGATGGGATCCCTCTGCTGAGCTTCTAGCCGACGCCGCCTCAAGTTGGGAGCTGACCCTCATTCACTCTTATCAGACTGCATGGACAGCTGCTGGGAGGGTAGGAGTTAGTACACGTGGGACTCTGAGGAGGCTGTAAATGGGGCAGGAGTGGTGTTGTGTGTCAGCAGGGTGCCGCCAGGCAGCTTCTGGGAGGACCTCTGCTCAGAACAGAGTGTAATGTGCCTGAGGGCATCCTCTGGAGAGCAAGGACACGATCTGCAGGTGAGATTACTGGAAGATGAGATGCAGGCTCTTGGGGGATGACCCGTGGTCATTGGGTTCCGGGGGTGAACCAGCTCTGTGGCTCAGTGGCTTTTTGATAATGAAGGGGAAAATAAAGAGTTAATTTTTTAGAGTCAAAGCTCCACAACTAGCTGCTCCCTTGAGCTGATTTGTCTTCGTGTCTTCCACCAAGACCACTGGGCACATGTTTCCCTTATCCAACCAGTGATGCCCTGAACTCATGTTACCTCAGGCATTTGCTTCCTGCAGCTCGGAACTTGTCCCCCCATGCACTTGTGTGCATCCTGGGACTCCAAGCTTACCGGAGCTTGCCCCATGCACTTGTGTGCA